CTCCAGGGGACTGGCTTATCAGCCTGGATATACAGGATGCGTACCTGCACATTCCTATTTTCAAGCCCCACAGGAAGTACCTCCGGTTTTACTTCCAGGGCCAGCATTTCCAATGGCGGGTACTCCCGTTTGGAATTTCTTCGGCCCCGTGGCTGTTCACACGCATCACGGTGCCGATTACACGGTTCCTTCATCTACGAGGGATAGAGTTCAGCCCTTACATCGACGATTGTCTAATCAACAACTGGGATCGTCAAAGGCTTGTCAGACAGAAGGAATACGCTCTCCGATTATTCCTTCAATTGGGAGAAGTCGTATCTGGAGCTGTCTCAGAGACTCACCTTCATAGGAGGACTTTTTCTCACCGATCAAGACAAGCTCAGAATCCCACCCGACTGGTGGGTGAAGATCTTGGCCTACGTCCACAAGGGGTTGACCCAGGCTCTCAAGTTGAGGGATTGGCAGGCCATTCTAGGTCTATTGACATCGGCACAGGATCTCACGAGCAGGGGGAGGCTCATGCTTCGGCCTCTTCAGAGGTTTTTGAAACCGTTCATAGAAGCTGACGATCTCAGGTCCAGCATTCCACTGCCGTGGCATCTGCACCGGTACCTTCATTGGTGGACTCACCCGTCGAATGTCTGCGACGGAGTCTGTTTGAGCGAATTCTCCCCAAACCAGGAACTCTTTGTGGACGCCTCACTACAGGGGTGGGGAGCACACCTGGACGGCCACACAGTCTCGACTGTGGTCAACAGAACATCAGTCCTGGCACATCAACAGCTTGGAATTTCAAGCTGTGATTCTGGCAGTATCTCATTGGCGAGATCGCCTCACTGGAGCCAACTTACTCATTGTATTGGACAACACAACGGTGGTTTGGGTGATACGCCAATCAGGGACGGCGGGTTCCCGACGCCTTCTCAATCAGTCGTTCCAGTTATTTGAGATTCTGGATCGGGCTCTCATCACAGTTTGAGCACGACACATTCCCGGTTGCAAAAATATCCTGGCAGACGCTCTATCCAGGCCCGGCAAACCATCACCCACCGAATGGATGCTTCATCCCGGTAGGCGTTCGATCTCGTTTGCCAGTCCCAGTACAGGCCCATGGTAGACTTGTTCGCCACAAACCTGAACAATCAACTTCCGGTTTATGTGTCTCCGATCCCGGATCCAGCAGCTTGGGCAGTCGACGCTCTGTCTCTGTCTTGGGAAAGTCTCGACGCCTACGCCTTCCCGCCTCCAGTGCTTCTGCCGGAAATCGTGGCGAAAATAAGGCAAACTACTCGTCTGAAACTGCTTTTGGTCGCGCCTTGGTGGCCGGCGAGGGTTGGTTCCCCGAGCTAGGGCGTCTCGCCAACGCACACCCAGTTCGTCTGCCCGGGTGGAGAAATCTTTTGCTTCACCCTCACAGCAGACAACTTCACCCAGACCCAGAAAGGTTCAATATCTGCGTTTGGGTCATTTACAGAGGACCTTGAGGGCGAAAGGTTGTAAGACAAATCCAGCGCCCAAGGCCAACTCCTATGTTGGCAAGCGCACCTGTGTCCGCCGGGCTGGCAAGTTCAGGCAAACCAAGGGACGACCCACCGGTGGTGCCCCAGGCAAGAGAGGTAAGCCCCTTGCCGTCACCAAACCACAATATCAACGCCGCTGAGGCATCGGACTTCCACGACTGGGACCTTCCGCCCCCTGTCGTCCAGATCCATCCCGCACCTGTAGGCGGAAGATTGGGGATCTTTTGGCCCAACTGGACATTCCTGGAGGATCCCTTCGTGGTCAACATTCTGAAAAGGGGGTACCAGCTTCCCTTATGCAGTCAGCCGCCTCTGACCAACCTGCCTCAGTCAAGTGTTTATTCTGCGGCTCAACATCAGCAAATAGCGGAAAACATTCAGATTTTTCTCGACAAAAGGGCCATCGAACTGGTACAGGACCCAAACAACAACCTCGGGTTTTACTCGCCGATCTTTCTGGTCCTCAAGAAAAACACCAACAAAATGCGAATGATTCACAATATGGCGGTGTTCAACGACCGTTACCTGTTGGATCCTCCTCATTTCCGATTGGTTTCGTTGGACCAGCTTCGGACCAAGATCTCTCCAGGGGACTGGCTTATCAGCCTGGATATACAGGATGCGTACCTGCACATTCCTATTTTCAAGCCCCACAGGAAGTACCTCCGGTTTTACTTCCAGGGCCAGCATTTCCAATGGCGGGTACTCCCGTTTGGAATTTCTTCGGCCCCGTGGCTGTTCACACGCATCACGGTGCCGATTACACGGTTCCTTCATCTACGAGGGATAGAGTTCAGCCCTTACATCGACGATTGTCTAATCAACAACTGGGATCGTCAAAGGCTTGTCAGACAGAAGGAATACGCTCTCCGATTATTCCTTCAATTGGGAGAAGTCGTATCTGGAGCTGTCTCAGAGACTCACCTTCATAGGAGGACTTTTTCTCACCGATCAAGACAAGCTCAGAATCCCACCTGACTGGTGGGTGAAGATCTTGGCCTACGTCCACAAGGGGTTGACCCAGGCTCTCAAGTTGAGGGATTGGCAGGCCATTCTAGGTCTATTGACATCGGCACAGGATCTCACGAGCAGGGGGAGGCTCATGCTTCGGCCTCTTCAGAGGTTTTTGAAACCGTTCATAGAAGCTGACGATCTCAGGTCCAGCATTCCACTGCCGTGGCATCTGCACCGGTACCTTCATTGGTGGACTCACCCGTCGAATGTCTGCGACGGAGTCTGTTTGAGCGAATTCTCCCCAAACCAGGAACTCTTTGTGGACGCCTCACTACAGGGGTGGGGAGCACACCTGGACGGCCACACAGTCTCGGGACTGTGGTCAACAGAACATCAGTCCTGGCACATCAACAGCTTGGAATTTCAAGCTGTGATTCTGGCAGTATCTCATTGGCGAGATCGCCTCACTGGAGCCAACTTACTCATTGTATTGGACAACACAACGGTGGTTTGGGTGATACGCAATCAGGGGACGACGGGTTCCCGACGTCTTCTCAATCAGTCGTTCCAGTTATTTGAGATTCTGGATCGGGCTCTCATCACAGTTTGAGCACGACACATTCCCGGTTGCAAAAATATCCTGGCAGACGCTCTATCCAGGCCCGGCAAACCATCACCCACCGAATGGATGCTTCATCCCGAGGCGTTCGATCTCGTTTGCCAGTCCCAGTACAGGCCCATGGTAGACTTGTTCGCCACAAACCTGAACAATCAACTTCCGGTTTATGTGTCTCCGATCCCGGATCCAGCCGCTTGGGCAGTCGACGCTCTGTCTCTGTCTTGGGAAAGTCTCGACGCCTACGCCTTCCCGCCTCCAGTGCTTCTGCCGGAATTTTCGACTTACCTCTCGGCCATCAACTCTGTTCTGGCAGTAAAAACGGAGGTGCGAGTATCCAAGATCCCCGAGTTGCAGGCTATGTTGAAAGCTTTCAAACTGGAGGACCAGAAAGTGAAGTTTCGTCCACCGGCTTGGGATCTCAACATTGTTCTTCAACACTTGCGAGGTCCCCCGTATGACCCTTTATGCCAGGCGTCTTGATCTGTTGTCCAGGAAGACGGTCTTTCTTCTGGCTTTGGCCACAGCCACGAGGGTTAGCGAGATTCACGCTCTAGACGTCACGAGAATCCACTTTGAGCAATCTCGTCATGGTGCTGTCCACTTGGGTCTCTTATGGGACTTTGTGGCTAAGAATCAGTTGCCGGGACAACCAGATCGGAGATTCACCATTCCACCTCTCTCCTCTGTGGTAGGGGCAGAGGACACAGACGAGCTTTCCCTTTGTCCCGTGAGAGCTTTACGAGAATACATCTGTAGATCAGCTCCTAGACGAAGGACGAGAAAACGGTTGTTCCTCCCTTTATCGACAGGCTCCAAAGGGGAGGTCAACAAGAACACAGTGGCCCTCTGGTTGCGGACGACCATCATCAATGCCTACGAGGCAGCCGGGTTACCTCCTCCTAAGGCGACTAACCCGCATGAAATTCGGGCTTTGGCTTCCACAATGGCTCTTCATAGGAATTGTTCAATTCCCACGATTATGGAGGGCTGTTTTTGGAAGTCTAACACTGTTTTTGCCAGCCATTATCTTCGAGACGTGGCAGTTGAAGATGTGGAAGGCCTTCAGAGTTTTGGTCCTCTTGTGGTGGCTCAACAGATGACACGTCCTTCTACTCACTAAGGTACGAGGCGTTGTTCTCTTCCTTTGGAGGCTTTGTGACTTTGTACAGGGACAATCGTGACAGTACCTCACCTATTGTTCCCTTAACGTGCGTCACTTTCATGGTCTTTGTTTTGCTTGCAGACCCCCAAGCATTCACTGTTCCATACGTCTGATTCGTTGGTCTCTTTGGGTGAACAACGGTTAGAACGTCCCACCTTCCAGGACTGTCGGATAAGATGCTTATAAGATGATAAGAGGTAAGTAAAGAATTTGGTAAAATCTAAGTATTTTAGATATTTACATACTTACCTTTTATCATCAAGTCTGAAGCCCACCCGAGTCTTCGCTGCCTCCCCACGTCATCGTTCTACCTTGTTGTTCGATGCGAAAGGAATGACTTGTTCACGTGGCCACGTGATAGACTGCTGTGACCTTACCGGTCACCCGGATGTCTTCAATTGAACCACCTTCGCGAGTTATAGGTTAGCTTCTGCAGTCTGTTTTCGTAGAGTAAGGCAAGTATGCATATAAGATGATAAGAGGTAAGTATGTAAATATCTAAAATACTTAGATTTTACCAAAATTGCCAGACATCATGACTTGTCAAGTTACCCCCTCCATGAACTAGCATATTCTGGGAAACATATATTTTTCATTACTGTCAAGCATTTTGGGGCATTGACAGTACTGAGTGACATTTTTTTTATCAGTAAAATAGTTTATTTTAACCCATGGAATTTAAGTATGAACATATCAGTGACCCAAGATAAAGTTTTAACACATTGTTGATATTTCTATTTTCCAGTGTGGCAGAAATAGTGGTCTGCACATTATCATCTTTGATGAAATAGATGCCATATGCAAGTCCAGAGGATCAGTGGTATGTCTAGCATTCAATTTTAAGTATTCTTAACATGTTTTTCTTTCACACAGCAACTTACAATATCCACAGCTTATGATCTCCACAAATCACATTATATCTGTGTGCTGGCTACCGCTATACCTAGACATGTACCATCCAGGTACTGGTCATGTTGGAAGGAGGTATTGCTAAGTTTGGTGGGCCTATACAATTTCTGACTTCTATTGAAGTAAGGCATAGATAATGATTTTTACAGAATCTATTGGCCATCCCATAACTGTTAATTGCAATCCCCAAAAGTGTCACTTTCTGGATTTGAGAAACGACTCTCTGGCTGAATGAAAAGTCTTGCTGAACAGATCTTTGTTTAGTTGTCTAATGAGATTAAATTGATATTTTCACAAAAGTCGCCCATGTTTATATTTAAGGCTGGCAATACAGCAGTGCATGACACTGTGGTCAATCAGCTGCTGTCTAAGCTGGATGGAGTGGAGCAGCTCAACAACATTCTTGTCATAGGCATGACTAACAGGAAGGACATGATTGATGATGCACTCCTCCGACCTGGCAGACTTGAGGTGCAGATGGAAATTGGTCAGTCACTAATCTTGACTGTCTTGTGGTTCTAATGGGAGTTAAGAGTAGATCCCTAGTAATCTAGAATGTCACAAGAGGTGATATAAGTGGATCACATGGTTATAGTCCGTTTGGCTCAAAAGCGGACGGATGAATTGCAATCTAACTCGAAAACTAATAACCATAAAATACTCAATGAAACACTGATCATAATGAAAACGTCGAACCAACTCTGAGAGGTGTTTGCAGAGAAAGGGACAGCCGGGTGTGCGAGAAAGGATGGAGACGGTACAGCACAGATTAATGAATCAATAACTTTGTCGGCACTTGTGCACGTGCTTCTCTAACACCTGGCTGTCCCTTTCTCTGCACTCCTCCCTCGTAACAAATAGTGAACTGTGTCAATATTTTAATGATAGTTTTGTTTTTAATTTTAGGACATAAATTCAGCAAACAAATCACAGAGTTGGTCTGATATTTTGATTATGATCAGCGTTTCATTGAGTATTATATGTTTATTAGTTTTTGAGTTAGATTGCAATTCATTGGTCCGCTTTTGAACCAAACGCACTATAGGTTCGGTGACTTACTTGTCATTTTACAGTGTGAATTGCTGCTCGCTTCCAGATAGAATTGCTGACAGGCCGCCATCAAGTAGCTTGAATATTAGTGTGGTGTTAAGAGAAGAGGACATAAATATTGTTTTATTAGAATAATCCAGTGTGTAAAGAAATGTGTCATTTCTTCTGGTAGTGTTGTATGTGTCATGTTAGTGTCAGGTGAAACCTGTCATGAGAATTGGCTGCACTCTATGTGCAGGTAAATGTGTCACCTGTACTGATGCTGTATGTGTCATGTTAGTGTCAGGTGAAACCTGTCATGAGAATTGGCTGCACTCTGTGTGCAGGTAAATGTGTCACCTGTACTGATGCTGTATGTGTCATGTTAGTGTCAGGTGAAACCTGTCATGAGAATTGGTTGCACTCTGTGTACAGGTAAATGTGTCACCTGTCATGAGAATTGGTTGCACTCTGTGTACAGATGCTGTATGTGTCATGTTAGTGTCAGGTGAAACCTGTCATGAGAATTGTGTCTGCACTCTGTGTACAGGTAAATGTGTCACCTGTACTGATGCTGTATGTGTCATGTTAGTGTCAGGTGAAACCTGTCATGAGAATTGGCTGCACTCTATGTGCAGGTAAATGTGTCACCTGTACTGATGCTGTATGTGTCATGTTAGTGTCAGGTGAAACCTGTCATGAGAATTGGCTGCACTCTATGTACAGGTAAATGTGTCACCTGTACTGATGCTGTATGTGTCATGTTAGTGTCAGGTGAAACCTGTCATGAGAATTGGCTGCACTCTGTGTACAGGTAAATGTGTCACCTGTACTGATGTTGTATGTGTCATGTTAGTGTCAGGTGAAACCTGTCATGAGAATTGGCTGCACTCTGTGTACAGGTAAATGTGTCACCTGTACTGATGTTGTATGTGTCATGTTAGTGTCAGGTGAAACCTGTCATGAGAATTGGCTGCACTCTGTGTACAGGTAAATGTGTCACCTGTACTGATGTTGTATGTGTCATGTTAGTGTCAGGTGAAACCTGTCATGAGAATTGGCTGCACTCTGTGTACAGGTAAATGTGTCACCTGTACTGATGTTGTATGTGTCATGTTAGTGTCAGGTGAAGCCTGTCATGAGAATTGGCTGCACTCTGTGTACAGGTAAATGTGTCACCTGTACTGATGCTGTATGCGTCATGTTAGTGTCAGGTGAAACCTGTCATGATAATTGGCTGCACTCTATGTGCAGGTAAATGTGTCACCTGTACTGATGCTGTATGTGTCATGTTAGTGTCAGGTGAAACCTGTCATGAGAATTGGTGTCAGGTAAATGTGTCACCCGTACTGATGCTGTAGCGTGTCATGTTAGTGTCAGTGTCATGTGCACCTGTACTGATGCTGTATGTGTCATGTTAGTGTCAAGTGAAACCTGTCATGAGAATTGGCTGCACTCTATGTGCAGGTAAATGTGTCACCTGTACTGATGCTGTATGTGTCATGTTAGTGTCAGGTGAAACCTGTCATGAGAATTGGCTGCACTCTATGTGCAGGTAAATGTGTCACCTGTACTGATGCTGTATGTGTCATGTTAGTGTCAAGTGAAACCTGTCATGAGAATTGGCTGCACTCTATGTGCAGGTAAATGTGTCACCTGTACTGATGTTGTAGTGGCATCACCTGCTGGCTGTGTTGTAGGTCTCCCAGATGAACATGGACGTGTTCAGATCCTTGACATTCATACCATGACCATGAAGGAGAATGGAAAGTTGGGTTCGGATGTGGATGTTCCTGAGTTAGCTGCCCTCACGAAAAATTTCAGTGGAGCAGAGATTGAAGGCCTAGTAAGAGCAGCTCAATCTACAGCCATGAACAGACTTATCAAAGTAAGCATGAACTATTTCAGACACATCTAACTAGGACAGATATGTAAGCTGTACTAGCACATCAGCCATGTCAACACAATCACATCAGCCATATCAACATTCACATCATCTCCCTGCACTAACACAGTCACATCTCCTTTTGCAGATACATCTCTTTGTACTTTGTACTTTGATACATCATTGTGTAGTACCACGTCACCTTGACCTGACCAAAACACACAAAACAGTTTTATATTCAAGTTTGGTACTTCAGCAATGTGTATATGATGTTGTTACATCTATTTCCAGGCAACATCCACAGTGGAAGTAGATGCAGATGCTGTAGAGAAACTTCAAGTGTCACGAGTAGACTTTATGCATGCATTCCAGCATGATGTTAAACCAGTAAGTGTTTGGGGAAATACTGGAATACCTTGTGTATGTATGTATAATTACTGCATTATAAACAGGAACTGACAGTCAGTGATAATAATCTTGGGCTCATGAAGGTAAAAGTTATAAATTTGTTTCTGATGAAATGCTGTTAGTGATTTCAGTTATCTGGCAATGAAGCTTTAAAAAATTACTGGCATCAGTAAATATTTTCTGCAATCAAACAATGAAGCTTTAAAAAATTACTGGCATCAGTAAATATTTTCTGCAATCAAAGTTTTGTCAGAATATCGTTGAAAGGCTAAGTTTACTTGAAATCTAAGTGTTCCACTTGAGTGTTGACAGCCTTCGATTTGGTTAAACCAGTAACCCATGTAGCAGTAAACTATGAAAAAATGAGTCAAGTAATGAAATGATAGAATGTGGGTAGAATGTATAGCTGTATAATATATATGTATAATATATTCTATTCTTTTGCTTTATATAACATGTTTGAAAAACCTATACAGGGTTCCAGATAATTATTTTGACTCCGGGATATTTCACTCCTCAAAATTTAAATTGAGGAGTAAGATTCCAAATGGAAATACAAGAGGTGTATTTTACAGGTTTCATGGTTTTATTACTTTCCCTTTCAAAAACTTGACGAGTTTCTTTTGGTTAGTCATTGTTACTGCAGACGACAGGAAATAAATGACAATGCGCGCTGAGATATTGTGCATTAAATGTTTTCCTACTCTGGTTTAAGGCCATCATGCAATCTACAGTTGCCCTAAAGCTGTATTATTACTGAGAAGGACAGGAAACGTGATAGTAACGCTGTTTAAGGGCTAGCTTTCAAACAAATTGTTCACTTCAATTCAGACAGCCAACACTATTCGAGATAGTGTAGGACTGAAACAATATTTTGACAGGTTTGGTTCACGCATGCAAACAAAGTCTGACTCGTATTCTGAGAAAGTATAGAAATGCGTATCTTTATCCCCCGCCACGCTAAACGCGCGGCAGGGGATATATTATTAGGCTCCGTTCGTCCGTCCATATGTACGTACGATTTGGAATATCTTAAGAACTGTTGACTAGATTCTTTTCATATTTGGTACCTAGGTTCATCACAGTGTAAGAAAGGTCCCAGTCAGGTTTGGTGACCTTGACCTTAATTTCAAGGTCACAAGGGGACTTTTACCCTTGTCAGCGAGATATCTCAAGAACCGTTGAAGAACTTTGAAGATTTCAGCATAATAGCCTGCATGTTATGCTTGTCAGCGAGATACCTCAAAAAAACCATTCACTGGATTTTCTTCATATTTGACACCAAGCTTCATGATTTTGGTGACCTTCACTTAATTTTGAAGGTCACAAAGACACTTTGAAGATTTCACCATGTTAAATTGCATGTTTAGATAGTCAGCAAGATATCGCAAAAAACATTCACTGGATTTTTTTCATGTTTGACACGAAGCTTCATCTAATGAAGCCGCAGGACCTAGTCAATTTTGGTGACCTTCATATAATTTTCAAGGTCACTGCGACACTGAAGATTTCAGCATGTTAACCTGAATTCACTGGATTTTCTCCATAGACTTTCAAAATGTCCCTTGTATATTTTTTAATAAGCAATTTCTTTAGTACCATTTTTGCATATTTCATACACTATGACATTCATGTCAAGGTCAAAGTCAGTCTTGAAAATATTTGTGTGTTTGAACAACTAAAGAGCAAGATATGAAGAGAGGTTGACTGATCATGTTTTTGTTGACATTTAACTGCATCTTAAACTTTCATTACTTTTTAAGTTTGATTTGATAATTTGCGGCAGGGGATTATGTCACCTCAGTGACAATGCTTGTTTACTCATAGATTTAACTTTTTATGCATATATCTGAATTATCCGTGCATAATTTACGCAGATACACATCGTATCTGGAGCCCTGCCTATATAAACCCTATTGAAAAAATATACATTATAGGACAAATTTTTTCAAGAATGAAGAAGGAATATATGTAGATGGAATATTGCTGAGTGTGGCATAAAAACTAAACTCACTCACTCACTCAAAGAATGAAAATCCAAGATCTAGTTCTAAAGGCTATTTCTATTAGTGTATTAACTTTCAGCTGTCCTTAAAAAGTACATATATCTATTCCTGTATTGAAATTTAGAAATTTATCCACAGACTTTAAAAGCTATAGTTAGAATCTAATGTGGTGTGTGTTCTGTGTTAGGCATTTGGTAGCAGCAAGGATGAACTGGACCTGTTCATGACCAATGGTATCATCAACTGGGGCTCCCCGGTGAACAGAGTGCTTGAAGCTGGAGATCTCACTGTGTCTCAGACCAAGAGCAGTGATAGAACACCCCTTGTCACCATGCTATTAGAAGGTAATCTTTGTTTAATCACACATGTGGACACCAAAGCCATTATTGAAAAGTGTACATCAAGGGCATGTACTGACTCATGTGTGACACAACAGACATAGTTTGGATCAATAGAGTGGGGTCCAGTTGGATGCAAGCGGGTCAAATGGAGAACTAAAGTGATTAATATATGGTCATTTTCAGCACAAATAGACACGACATCTTTCGGGATTTGAGAGAAACTGGAGACAACATAGCCATTTTTCGTGAAGTAAACATTATTCAAAATGGAATAAAGTTTCTGATGTATCCTTGAGACTCATGGAGGTTTGTTTTGTTGTGTACTGATACTTGAAAACTAAGACAACGGGCCCTTTATAGGTTCCAAGTAACCTATGCTTGTTATAAGAGATAACATAGTGGATCAGAATTGTTTGTTTGTGTCAAAGACATATTTGTTGTGATATGTGAATACTTTGATTCATGTCAGTTTACATGAGTACTGTCAGTTGTTTTGGCATATGTGTAAGAGCTATATTCTACTTAGTCAAGTGTGTACATGTTGTTACTGCAGGCCCTCCTTCCAGTGGCAAAACTAGTCTTGCTGCCACTATTGCCAAGAGATCGGACTTACCCTTTGTGAAACTATGCACCCCACAGAACATGATTGGGTATACAGAAACTGCCAAATGCCAGGCTATCAAGAGGGTGAGTGATTGTAAGCCAGCCTACTGTCACAGAGACTGTGTAGACTTTCATTAACATGCATGGCAGTGGGTATTTCTGCACTAGTGTTGCACTGATGTGGAGTACATATTATACTACATATTTCTCGATCAAACACTCTAGTTGCTGTTAGGCAGCAATGCTTTGGACAGAAAGTGATCAATCCTATTCACAGGGAGTGTAAAGAGGCAAAATGCTTTGTGACTATACAGTCGTGCCCCGTTTATCCGAACACTTGTGTTTTTCTTGAAATTGTTCGGATAAACGAATTTTCGGATATCTGAACCGAGGACCATATGGAAAAAGACAGACAAACAAACGAACATAATAAGCCTCAGACGTATTCTTTATTGATTGATTGATCAACAAATAACAAATACTGTAAACGTATTATATTTCGCGCAGGTTTTATTTTCGCGCTTTTGAAGACAGAAATCTACGGGAATCTTAAAATGACGACTGATAGTAGCCTAAAGAATCATACTTAACTGTTGCTGTAATGGATTTCCCAAAACATAATTAAATAATGAGCCAAATCCCATCATCAATTAGCTTAAAACAGCAATGTGTGTTGTGGCCGCAATGGAAATTGGTCACATGACAGATGGTTTGATACAAAACAGATTACCATGAAACTAACTCGGAAAGAAATAATACAGCAGTATTTTTATTTATTCATTAAGATTTTATTTACCAGTACATCATAAAGGGAATAGTCACTTAACACTCAATCATCTCATTCACAACAACCCGCTTGTTTGAAATCACAAAGAGCTTCATATACAGTAGAAGTTAATTCGGCAGATTGTCAGAATTCGGAACATAAGACTGATGTGTTTTTCATCTCTTCCGTGAGTAAACAACGGGGACGTCTAGCCTTGCCAATAACAATTGACAGGCCTCAAGATTAACTCAGTGTCACCTTGCTAATTAAGGGCAGTTAATCCTCTCACCCTTCAAAGAATGCCGGCTTGTAACCCTTGTTTCATGTTAGGGCACGCAAGGCCACTCGGTAAAATGCGCGTGTAAACATACTGACAGGTGCTCAGCCATGCGGATATACGAGAAAAAAATGCATATGATTTAGCATTTGGTATGTGAAAATGACCATCCGGTTACGGAAAACTGATTTCCGGTTAAGTGAGTAGTTTTACAACGTTGTGAATTCGTTTTAATGAATTTTCGTTCGGAAGGCGAGTTTTCCGGATATCTGAGGTTCGGATAAACGGGGCACGACTGTACTTACAAATATCATGACTCCAGACATATGGCAGTTTAATGAAAATCGGCATGTAGACAGATGGATTAAAGTACTGTCGGAAATGCTAGAAAAATGCTTTTTGACTTATATTTAAAATTCAGAGGTATTACAGTTACTTAAATAACAAATATCACTTCAAGAAACATCTACCTAATGTAGACCGAGGGAATAAATTTTGAGACATGCTCTAAAATGTGTTTTTACTGATGAAAATACCAAAAACTTAGAAAAATAAGGGGTAGTTGGACGTTATTTGAAACAAACATTAACTGCCTGTGTTACGTCATCAGCATGCACGGTATCGACAGGTGAAATTGACACCTGAGCACACGCTCGGGGCGAGGGGTCATCTCAATAGATGTTTTCTGCAAAATGTTGAATATGTGTACGTATAGTATAATGATCAGTTATGTAAGGGATCATTTGTGTATGTGTGTTTGTTTTGAAATAAACATACGAATTACTGTACATTGGAAAGAATCCTATCACTTGTGTTATCTTATCGACTGATTGTAGAAATGTGCAACGCTTTAATAAATGTTTTGCATGTCAACAGTATATTTCATTGAAAAATATGGATGTAATTCGGTCAGTTTAATCTAGTTGTGAACATTGGCCAAAGATTTAACGGTCACTGGTGTAGCTTCTTTAGCATATATATATTCTTCTTCTCATAAAGTTTGTAGACCACCCGTCTAAGCACTCCCTTGTCAAAGTTGTCAAGGATGGTTTTATCGTCCGGTTTTGCATTTGAGACCGGTCCCTGTCTGGTCTGATTTGTTTACAATATTGTAAACTTGTTGGTAAGACATGCCAACAGCTCTACAAGTTCTGTAATAAACCCTTTCTAAACTAATGAAAGGTTTACCTCTGTCTTTTTTAAGCAGAAAAAATCTATAAACCTTTGCAACAATCGACTGCAAATCGTTGGCCATAGTGGACGCTGTGATAAAGATGTGCATGCATGACGGGAAACTTATTTATCAAGACTTAACATTTATATTAATATTTCTTCAATAAAGAAAACGATACTTTAGTAAAGTAACACAAACATTCAACATTTATTTGTTTAGGATAAACTTTAATTCATATTTTGACACCACCTGTATCATTAGCATAAATGTAAAGACTATTTCAGATTTCTGTTGTTGAACTCTGAAAAAATCTTAAGTTGCTGTTTTGGTACGAAATTCTCTCCTGTAAACTGCCCTTTAAATGCATGGGAATGTTAAATCGATTGAAATAAAAATTAGGTAGACAATAGGCGAGTTGATATATTGACAACATAGTACATTTATCACCTTTATAAAGATATTAAGGCTAAAAAGCATTTTTCTAGCATTTCCGACAGTACTTTAGTTTACATGTTTAGATGACAGGAGTGGTTAGTTTGTACCCACTGTAATACTGACATCTGTAGGGCTGGGACATTGCATGTGCTGAATCATCACAGAGTATTGATGTCCCAGCACATGTCAGGGAGAGTAGCTGTCTCACCAAATGTACTTGCAGGGAAACATGCTGCCTGGTGTTACAAGTGTTGTGTTTATCTGGCATGTACACGCTGATTGTAGGATTGCATGTTTGCTTGTGTTGCAGATATTTGATGATGCATACAAGTCCCCGCTCAGCTGCATAGTCATTGATGATATTGAAAGGCTGCTGGGTAAGTGTCTCTTCACCTGGACACCACAGTGTCCATATTGATATATTAAACAGTGATTCTAGGATCACGGAGCAAAGTATAGACTTTGAAAAACATTGATAACTGAATTAAGTTCTATCATGTGTTTGTTTACAATACACACAGGGAGCTAGTTATTGTGTATGTCTGAATGTGACTGCAATATTTTCATGAGGACAGTTCACTTCCTGGTCACCATCCTCTTCCTGCTATATGCTCCTGGGGTACAGTTCCCATGGTTACATGCTGTAAACACCATGTCCACCATGTTTCCTGTAAAAAGCAACTGAAAGATATTGGGACAATGGGTAGTAAACAATGGGAAACATGTTTGTTTTAACAGTGGCTTTGATGAATGCTTTTTATGCCATGGCAGACTTCCCCCTGCAGGCGTGGCAGCCAGTTACAGTCTGTACATATTTTGGACTATGCTACTGCCTGCAGTCTCCACCTTGTATTTGGTACCAAGTATACTTGTATACATTACCATTTACCCATTTACCATAAGTGGCATACAGTTTATGCTATGTTACAGACTATGTACCGATTGGTCCACGTTTCTCCAATTTGGTTTTGCAAGCCCTTCTCGTTCTCCTGAAGAAATCCCCACCACAGGTATGTGAAACTTGACAGTGTTCACTGCAATAACTTCCGAAATGGCAGATATCAGTTTGTTTGTCTTTGGTAAAGATCATCTGAAGACTGTACAAAGTTATTCATGACAGAGTTCTTGCAGGGTCGCAAATTGCTGGTAATTGGCACTACAAGTCGGAAGGACGTCCTGGATGACATGGAGATGTTAAATGTCTTCAGTACAGTTGTGCATGTGTCCAACATATCCATGAGTGAACACCTGGTGGCGGTTCTGGACAGTCTGGACGTGTTCAGCAAGAAGGAGATGGAACTGGTAGAGAGAAGGACAGCTGGCAAGAGGTAGTTATTTAGTAAAACCCTTTTGCTGTAGACACGTTCAGTGTAAAGTGTTGTGTCAGTGGGTACTGTGGTTTGGTGGAGTTACAAGAGTTACCTCCCTTGCATTAATATCCACCATGGCAAGCTGAGATCAAGCCCGCAATTCTGGTTAGATATAGTTCTTCCATAGTGCTTACAATAAATGTACATCCTAATTCATTTCCTTCTTTTTTCTAGATTATTTATTGGAATCAAGAAACTACTTATCATCATAGAGATGTCAAGACAGGTAAGTGAGAAGCTCATGTAAACTTAACACAGAAGTTACAAGCACCCAAGCCTAAATTAGGACAGCTACTATGTAATTGTATACCCACTAGGCAGTGGTGCAGCTAAAGTAAGATGGTGCATTGCCTATATGTTGTACAGGTTGCTGGAAATGATTACCACCTTCTTGTGTTTCAGATGGATGAGTCTCTGCGTGCAGACAAGTTGGTGGATATCCTGGAGGACGAGGGAGCTCTTGAGAGATGAGGACAGTCTGGTCCTGCTTACTCTTAGGAACCTTATTTATACACTTGTTACTTCCTCTACCTTGTTGTGTTGTTGTCACTTGTTTGTGGTGTAGTTTGGGTACATTCCAGCAGCTGTGGAGATACTCTGTTACAGGCTCTACCTGGTGACATGCAGCCTCCCACTGGGCAAACACTGTATCTGTACACAGTATCAGTACACTCTATCAGTATATTGTTTCAAGAGTGTTTGTTAGTGCAGCAGTTTAGAGCATAGAGTCAATGATCCTGGAAAAATCAGCACACTTTCATTATGTAAGATGTGTAAGATGTATTTGCACTAATTTGGTTAACCTCTGCAGCACAGTAAGGGACCACCAGCCAACTCACCAACAGCCCCAGTGATGCATACACCACAGGCCTGGGACATATATTGTCTTGCAGTGGTTTTAGCTCCTGTACTGATGTTAAATGTATACACTTTTCTCAAAATATAATTCTTAAAGTATTAAATATCCTTTTTCTCTACATCATGCCTCACAAACACACTGATTATCAAAGTATGTGCTTTATGTACCATTACAATTCATAAAGAGAACAAATGATATTTTCAAAACAATATTCATCCTTTGAGATTTATATAATTTAACCTTCATTGTCATTTGATGTGTAAAGACAAATTATGTGAATCAGTGTGTGTGATTTATATTAGTAACTTCTAAAACATTAAATAACATATTTACTAGCAGATATATGTGTGTGCAGTAAATTATTTGCTGATTGAACTGTATGTGCTGTGTACACTACATCTTTTGTCAACTTCATAACCATACAAACATCTTCATGTCAGTATTACCATCAGGATCAACATTGAAACCTGTATGTATTATCCATATTTGACACTATGAACAAGGGTTGCATAAAGCAATACATACACAAATGTTTCAACACACAACATTGATATATATGTTACAGTTGATTGTCATCAGTGGAAATGGGACTCTATAAAGTACTCAGTGCTGTGGGTGTTCAGTAATAATACAAAGGCGTTTTCTAGTTGAGCAACACTATGGGAAGACAATCAAATGGAGAGGAAGGTTTACATACTAATTTTTGGTTTAATCAAAATCTCTGTACATGAAAGTAGCAGTGTCAGGGAGTTAAAACCAGTACTGGAGCAGGTAATGTTAACCTGAGCATGGTAGTGTTGCTGATCAGGTCATGATGTAGTTTGTGTACTTGTATTGCTCTTGTCAAGAGTTCAAATAGCACATTAAAGCAAAATGTTCCATATCCACATGGTAAGATATGATTTGAACTACTCATTTTGTAACACCGTTTTTTCTCTGCACTGTAGCCAGTTTCACAGAAGGTCAGTTTGACCATGTTAACAGATGGAACCTCCACCTTTCTTATCTGATAAGTGCAGTTATATATAGCTACAGGGCAGTTGGTACAAGTAGAAACATGATCACAGGAATTTTAGAAAGTGTATTACCATTGGGGAACTCTTGAATTTCAGTTTTGTTGCATGTGCTGTATATGTTTTATGTGAAATGCCAGTATATTTTGTGAAGTTATAAGTATAACATACTGATTTGATCAGTACCCATTTCCTCCAGAGTACCTTCGCTTTTTTCCAATATTGTATGATGTAATCTGGTCTTTATCTGCCACATATGGGAGCATATAGCTTACACTGTGCTATGTCATCCAAGCTGGTGGCTGTTGACCTGGAGTTGCCTAGTGCACTGTGTCAGCCCCTCTGATGGCTGTTGACCTGGAGTTGCCTAGTGCACTGTGTCAGCCCCTCTGATGGCTGTTGACCTGGAGTTGCCTAGTGCACTGTGTCAGCTCCTCTGATGGCTGCTGACCTGGAGTTGCCTAGTGCACTGTGTCAGCCCCTCTGATGGCTGTTGACCTGGAGTTGCCTAGTGCACTGTGTCAGCCCCTCTGATGGCTGTTGACCTGGAGTTGCCTAATGCACTGTGTCAGCCCCTCTGATGGCTGTTGACCTGGAGTTGCCTAGTGCACTGTGTCAGCCCCTCTGATGGCTGTTGACCTGGAGTTGCCTAGTGCACTGTGTCAGCTCCTCTGATGGCTGTTGATCTGGAGTTGCCTAGTGCACTGTGTCAGCCCCTCTGATGGCTGTTGACCTGGAGTTGCCTAGTGCACTGTGTCAGCCCCTCTGATGGCTGTTGACCTGGAGTTGCCTAGTGCACTGTGTCAGCCCCTCTGATGGCTGTTGACCTGGAGTTGCCTAGTTCACTGTCAGCCCCTCTGATGGCTGCTGACCTTGAGTTGCCTAGTGCACTGTGTCAGCCCCTCTGATGGCTGTTCACCTGGAGTTGCCTAGTGCACTGTGTCAGCCCCTCTGATGGCTGTTGACCTGGAGTTGCCTAGTGCACTGTGTCAGCCCCTCTGATGGCTGTTGACCTGGAGTTGCCTAGTGCACTGTGTCAGCCCCTCTGATGGCTGTTGACCTGGAGTTGCCTAGTGCACTGTGTCAGCCCCTCTGATGGCTGTTGACCTGGAGTTGCCTAGTGCACTGTGTCAGCCCCTCTGATGGCTGTTGACCTGGAGTTGCCTAGTGCACTGTGTCAGCCCCTCTGATGGCTGTTGACCTGGAGTTGCCTAGTGCACTGTGTCAGCCCCTCTGATGGCTGTTGACCTGGAGTTGCCTAGTTCACTGTCAGCTCCTCTGATGGCTGTTGACCTGGAGTTGCCTAGTACACTGTCAGCCCCTCTGATGGCTGTTGACCTGGTGTTGCCTAGTTCACTGTGTCAGCCCCTCTGATGGCTGTTGACCTGGAGTTGCCTAGTGCACTGTGTCAGCTCCTCTGATGGCTGTTGATCTGGAGTTGCCTAGTGCACTGTGTCAGCCCCTCTGATGGCTGTTGACCTGGAGTTGCCTAGTTCACTGTCAGCCCCTCTGATGGCTGTTGAGCTGGAGTTGCCTAGTTCACTGTGTCAGCTCCTCTGATGGCTGTTGACCTGGAGTTGCCTAGTGCACTGTGTCAGCCCATCTGATGGCTGTTGACCTGGAGTTGCCTAGTGCACTGTGTCAGCCCCTCTGATGGCTGTTGACCTGGAGTTGCCTAGTTCACTGTGTCAGCCCCTCTGATGGCTGTTGACCTGGAGTTGCCTAGTGCACTGTGTCAGCCCCTCTGATGGCTGTTGACTTGGAGTTGCCTAGTTCACTGTCAGCTCCTCTGATGGCTGTTGACCTGGAGTTGCCTAGTTCACTGTCAGCCCCTCTGAAAGCTGTTGACCTGGAGTTGCCTAGTTCACTGTCAGCCCCTCTGATGGCTGTTGACCTGGAGTTGCCTAGTGCACTGTGTCAGCTCCTCTGAAAGCTGTTGACCTGGAGTTGCCTAGTGCAGTGTGTCAGCTCCTCTGATGGCTGTTGACCTGGAGTTGCCTAGTGCACTGTGTCAGCCCCTCTGATGGCTGTTGACCTGGAGTTGCCTAGTGCACTGTGTCAGCTCCTCTGATGGCTGTTCACCTGGAGTTGCCTAGTGCACTGTGTCAGCCCCTCTGATGGCTGTTGACCTGGAGTTGCCTAGTTCACTGTCAGCCCCTCTGATGGCTGTTGACCTGGAGTTGCCTAGTTCACTGTCAGCCCCTCTGATGGCTGTTGATCTGGAGTTGCCTAGTTCACTGTGTCAGCCCCTCTGATGGCTGTTGACCTGGAGTTGCCTAGTTCACTGTCAGCCCCTCTGATGGCTGTTGACCTGGAGTTGCCTAGTTCACTGTCAGCCCCTCTGATGGCTGTTGATCTGGAGTTGCCTAGTTCACTGTGTCAGCCCCTCTGATGGCTGTTGACCTGGAGTTGCCTAGTGCACTGTGTCAGCTCCTCTGATGGCTGTTGATCTGGAGTTGCCTAGTGCACTGTGTCAGCCCCTCTGATGGCTGTTGACCTGGAGTTGCCTAGTTCACTGTCAGCCCCTCTGATGGCTGTTGACCTGGAGTTGCCTAGTTCACTGTGTCAGCTCCTCTGATGGCTGTTGACCTGGAGTTGCCTAGTGCACTGTGTCAGCCCATCTGATGGCTGTTGACCTGGAGTTGCCTAGTTCACTGTCAGCCCCTCTGATGGCTGTTGACCTGGAGTTGCCTAGTGCACTGTGTCAGCCCCTCTGATGGCTGTTGACCTGGAGTTGCCTAGTTCACTGTCAGCTCCTCTGATGGCTGTTGACCAGGAGTTGCCTAGTTCACTGTGTCAGCCCCTCTGATGGCTGTTGACCTGGAGTTGCCTAGTTCACTGTCAGCCCCTCTGATGGCTGTTGACCTGGAGTTGCCTAGTGCACTGTGTCAGCTCCTCTGAAAGCTGTTGACCTGGAGTTGCCTAGTGCACTGTGTCAGCTCCTCTGATGGCTGTTGACCTGGAGTTGCCTAGTGCACTGTGTCAGCCCCTCTGATGGCTGTTGACCTTGAGTTGCCTAGTTCACTGTCAGCTCCTCTGAAAGCTGTTCACCTGGAGTTGCCTAGTGTACTATGTCTCTTGACTGGTACATTGATCAGTTAGGGCCATAGGCAGAGTCATTCCAGATGACTAAAAAATGTGTAACTTAATCTTATTGAAAGAGCTAGATGATGTGCTATGGTGTTGTAGGTAGCTGAGGTAAGAAGTGTTTATCTATATCTTATCTACAACTGCTTTGGACTTTAGTCTCCAGTCTGTAAAGAATGTAACTCAATAAAGAAATTATTAGTTCCAACACAATTGCAGACTCTTTTGTTGCATGTACTATATGAACCAAAATAAGGGGAATGAAATACATGATGTATCATGAGAAGCAGTTTGATGCAGCTGTTGAATGTTCACGACCAGAGTGTGTCCCTGGAATGTTCCCTTTGGACAGGTAACTATTGTATTCACTCCTGTAAACAAAAGTGTGCTTGACATTCTTGGGTGACCATTGCTACAGTACATTTATGATCTTGTGAGTCGCCCTTGCTTGAAAAATGGTATTGGAATTTGCTCTGAAACTTCAGGACCTTTTTTGCCACTAATTGGAAGTACCCTTGTGACATCCAGTTAGTGTTTTTAAATATGTTAGTATTACAGTATTCTGTACACTGCATGCTTCATTTTGTTGTGCATTTTAGGTATTCTTAGATAATGTAGCAAATATTACAGGAGTATAAGTGTAGTTAGAATGCAGAATGTCTTGGCTCCATATTGAGTCCATATTCTTGTAAATAATTTGTACTTTAACCAAACACCATGGTCCATCCTCTGGTCGTGGCCATTGTGGGAATGTCAATACAGAGAACCTTGCCATTGTCTCTCTCTGAGAATTACGCCTTCTTTATGAAGACTGGTTCCCGCCAACCCTGTAGCTCTGTAATATATGTAGCGACATTATTTTCGCGATTGATGCCGACACACATATACTTTCAGAAAAGCGTGCTTCAGATTAAGTAGTGTAAAAATTCTATGTTACTGAAAATCATGACGTAATATTTTGTCATTCGTCCCATCAATGTTTTGTCATTGCCAGTTCGTTGTTGAAATCAGTTCCAGGTAAACTAAAAGTGTAACAAGTCATTCAACAATTTCAATATGGGCTGTGGTCACCATTTGCACTGGCACTGGCACCAGATGGTTGAAAACAACCTGGAAGATGTTGCTGATGTCAACTAAAGATTGGCCCAACAGAGCATGCGTTACCGGTTTGTCCAGGTGTTGTCACATCGTTATTTCTAACCTTCGACAAGTTCTACAGGAAAAAGGTTTGGCAAAACACCAACCATGGCAGTACACCAATGTTATGCTTCCTCTGAAAGTCTGTAACAACACGTATAACACCTGGTCGGTTGATGCTACGTTCCGGCATTTGCACAAAGTGTACAACATGATTTCGTCCACCTTTCTTTTGTTTACTTTAATGAGGAGTCTAACATGACATATGATTCAAACCAATACCATTACACATCCATCCCCGAACTGATGACGTTCACTAACGCAAGCGTCGGTAAACGTGCTGTCCTGAGTATGCTGATTTAACCTGGAATCACCTGTGAACAGTGTACTGTCCCAGTCTTGTCACTGGAACTTTGGAAGCTTTCAACACGAAGTTAGTTGCTCCAATTGCCTGCTTAGGTTCTGCCACAAGTTGGTCTAAGCCACCCATGAATTGTCCGAGCTGTTAATATGGCAGTTTGGCGTCCATTCTCTAAATGCACCAACCAAATGTGGTTGTGTTGACGTCACATCTCAAGGGGACGGCCAATCTGAGGCACGTCCTCGTAAACGGCCTTATATATGTCTCCAAAGAGATATTATTTCAATGAACATAACAATGCCATGAGCCATTCCTATTTGCAGAATACACAGCGTGTGCGTGGATTTTCAACAAACGTAGCACAATGTAAGCGTCATTTTCTTCCATTCAAAAGTGTTTTATGAGCACCTCGTAGATAAACAATCTTTCCGTAAAATTAACATTACTAAACTACGCGTATGAGTAGCTTTCAACAAACAAACTCGCAAACATCCAAATTGTGCGCCACGTGTAAACATGCGCGTGCAACACGACCTTAAAGTCGAGGAGATCTTTATGATTTTGTATTGAAAGATACATTTTCTAATTTCAGAATCAAATGTATTACTCTTAAACTGTATATGACGCACACCACACAAGGCGGTTAGTATATATGTAATACTATACTTCTACATATACATCCCTATCGAGCCGCCCAGTAGATGATTTTGTCACATCTTGTACCATAAGATCCGAGGTGAATGGTTCCCAGATCCATTTCGATCAAAATCTTTCGTCAGTCAGCACGCCAATCGGGCCTTTCTCACACTTTAATCTGGAAGACTGATCAGAACAGCCTCAGCACTCAAATAGTAGCTCGAGATTTTTTTGCCGCCACCATGCTGGTCCTGCAGCGTTGTGACCTACTACATGTGTGTGAGATGTAAGGTTTTACTTCTCCATTTGCCTATTGAAAGATAATGTGTATACCCATCAAACAAAATAAATAATCTGAGTGATTTCCTCTCCAGATCAACGATTTACATCAGCGTTCCCAGAGAACGGAAGAGCGGTTGTTTGATCCCCGGCTGCGTCCTCCACAATGGTATTAAATGATGGTACTTGTTACCCTGCCTGGCGCTTGTCATTGAAAGGATGAAACAGGACCTTGTGAACTCATGAAACGTTGGTCCACTGTTGATGTTTCAATACCCAACAATTTGCATCACGGAGTCATCACAACCTTTTCCTTTTTGTAATAAATACCGATTTGTACCTATTTTGACTCTAAGTTTGTGCTAAGCTGATTAACGATACAAATGCAAAGCTTAGATATTAGAAATTGTATTTGTAATTTGTCGTTCAGCCTTTCAATGTTGTTTTAGGTAGGTGTATTAACCCTTCTGTTAATAGGTACAATGTGTGAGAAGGTCATTTTTGGTGCCCCCGCCTTAATATTGCTGGATTATTGATTAAAGTGGGTCACTCACTCACTCACTTCCTCACTCAAAGGGGGAACAAGCTTGCTGACGATTAATGTCATGACCACCTATTGTGGGTGTTTAGGACATTTTCTGTAGACACACACAATTTATTTGAAATACATCAATGTTGCCACTTTTGATATTGATGATCCGGAAGTGATGCTGGTGTCTCGCAACACAGATCCAGCAACCACTATACATGTCTTATAAATACAACGCTACAGGAAAAATCCACCTATGGGACACCTCACATAGAAACTTATATACATCAAACAAGTTACAACGTAGGTGATCTTCAACAATGTCAAAACTTTCAATTATGCGTGTTACGTTCCGATTGAAGACGACATGTCTAGTCTTGTCACCTGAAGGTATCTCTGTACCTTACCCTGCTGCAGTTAGCATTGCCACTTGGTCGCTGTATCTACTTCGACATCAGGCACTTGGTGATAATGCGTCAGATTCTGTGTTCACAGTGCCGACATCCTTGGCTCCACGTGAACTCTCTTTACTGATTACCACAGTGTGTGGCTTCTGTCAGGGGTCACTTGCAGACTGTTACCCACTCATTATAAGTACATGTCTGACACTCTACGTAACAACACCAGTAGAATTTGCAGTTGCACCTCTCAGATCGTCGGACTTTTAGGATGTTATAACCTCGGCCACAGCATAGTGTTCCACAGTTGTCTACACCGTCACTAGATTTGTTGCACAGGCGACCGGTCGTGCCGGGGGAATCAAGACGGTTGTTCGGCTCACAGAAGCTCGGCGACTTCTGATAGTACAGCAGATCTGATTGGCGAGGGCGACGACCATTCTGCTTTATTAACCGCCCACTGGCTGCATTTCCGATGTGAATCTAAAATGTAAGACATCGTTAATTTCAATAATTGTTTGAGAATGCACTCAATTTTTCTACACCTTTCTAAAACGTTCAGCGTCACACTGTACTATCGTTACAACATGTATGTAATGGCGCACTGGATCATCACGGGTCAGCTCCTGGTTATGTGGACTGACTGACTGAGTTTGGTTTTACGCCGCTTTTAGCAATATTCCAGCAACATCACGGCGGGGGACACCAGAAATGGGCTTCACACATTGTGCCCATGTTGGGATTCGAACCCGGGTCTTCGGCGTGACGAGCCAACGCTTTAACCATTAGGCTACCCCACCGCCCCCCTGGTTATGTGGAGTACCATACAGACTGACTGACTTCGTTACTCGAAGTCATAGTTGCCCGTCAGCTACCGTACCAACATAGACCACGCTCTGTACACACGCTAGGTGAGCAGATTTGTAGGAAGCAAACAAAACCTGCATATTGCTGCTTCGCGTCAAGACTTAAAAACACGCGACGTCTGGTTCATGACGTCATCATTGTGCGTGTCATCTTAGTCTGTCATAATTCGTATCGTTATACAGTCCCATGTCACACTGCTTATGTACATGCGTAGGACATAAATGCGCCTGTACCTGTACCTTGGTGGCGGCCTTGAACTTGCGCTTCAGCAGATCCCCAACTTCTCTGAAGTTAGGCGCAGCTTTCCAGCACGTTTTCAGCTCACAGCTGCCCGACATTCCGTGACACTTGCACTGCTTCTGGACGTTACGGATCACAGCCTGAAGAACACACCGGGGCAATACATATATCATGGGTGTTATGCGCGAAGAACAAACCGGGGCAATACATATATCATGGGTGTCATGCGCGAAGAACACACCGGGGCAATACATATATCATGGGTGTTATGCACGAAGAACAAACCGGGGCAATACATATATCATGGGTGTTATGCACGAAGAACAAACCGGGGCAATACATATATCATGGGTGTTATGCACGAAGAACACACCGGGGCAATACATATATCATGGGTGTTATGCACGAAGAACACACCGGGGCAATACATATATCATGGGTGTTATGCACGAAGAACACACCGGGGCAATACATATATCATGGGTGTTATGCACGAAGAACACACCGGGGCAATACATATATCATGGGTGTTATGCATGAAGAACACACCGGGGCAATACATATATCATGGGTGTTATGCGTTAAGAACACACCAGGGCAATACATATATCATGGGTGTAATGCATGAAAAACACACCGGGGCAATACATATATGATGGGTGTTATGCATGAAGAACACACCGGGGCAATACATATATCATGGGTGTTATGCATGAAGAACACACCGGGACAATACATATATGATGGGTGTTATGCGTGAACATTACACCGGGGCAATACATATATCATGGGTGTAATGCGTGAAGAACACACCAGGACAATACATATATCATGGGTGTTATGCGCGAAGAACACACCGGGGCAATACATATATCATGGGTGTTATGCGCGAAGAACACACCGGGGCAATACATATATCATGGGTGTTATGCGTAAATAACACACCGGCCGAATACATATATCATGGGTGTTATGCGTTAAGAACACACCGGCCGAATACATATATCATGGGTGTTATTCGTGAACATTACACCGGGGTAATACATATATCATGGGTGTTATGCGTGAAGAACACACCGGGGCAATACATATATCATGGGTGTTATTCGTGAACATTACACCGGGGTAATACATATATCATGGGTGTTATGCGTGAAGAACAGACCGGGGTAATACATATATCATGGATGTTATGCGTGAACATTACACCGGAGTGATACTTATATCATGGGTGTTATGCGTGAACATTACACCGGGGCAATACATATATCATGGGTGTTATTCGTGAAGAATACACCAGCTAGCATACCGTCCTTGTGACAGGCTGCACAACCCCCTGTTTCAGTAGGTATGTTACGGGTAACACCCCAAAGAAACAATAGCGTATTGGATACGTAACTTTTATGGCCCGCAGAATGTCTAGATGAAGAGAAACGTCGAAGGAGAAACCCAGAGGTTACAATTCGATGTGGGTGATGAGACAGAACTTATGGGATAGGCTGGAGTATGTATTGCAAGTGGCAGCAAATTAATTGAGGCGCTCGTATAATATCGATTTGTGGTAGCGGCATCGAACTCTGTTAATGTAGAGTCGCCTGTCTTCATTGCCCTTCTGGCCTATAGATAGCTCCTCTGTCAGGTGCGTGTTTACAGTTGCTGATTAGCTACTTGACGCTTTGAGGATGCAATTTCCTTAACTGTCACGTAATATATGTTATTGGTGACAGCTCATTACATACATAACAGGTGAACCCATCAGTTCATTAGATACGTTACAGATAAATGCCCGAAGAACACACAAGTTTAGAAACTTTACGGGTTGCAGCCTGAAGAACACGCTATTTCAATAGATGTGGTACAGGTTACAGCCAGGTCATAAGATACGATACTGGTTACAGCCAGCCGAACCCACTAGGTCATAAGATACGATACTGGTTACACCCTGCAGACCACACTAGGTCATAAGATACGATACTGGTTACACCCTGCAGACCACATAAGGTCATAAGATATGATACTGGTTACACCCTGCAAACCACATAAGGTCATAAGATATGATACTGGTTACACCCTGCAGACCACACTAGGTCATAAGATACGATACTGGTTACACCCTGCAGACCACATAAGGTCATAAGATACGATACTGGTTACACCCCGCAGACCACATAAGGTCATAAGATATGATACTGGTTACACCCTGCAGACCACATAAGGTCATAAGATACGATACTGGTTACCCCCTGCAGACCACATAAGGTCATAATATACGATACTGGTTACACCCTGCAGACCACATAAGGTCATAAGATACGATACTGGTTACCCCCTGCAGAGCACATAAGGTCATAAGATACGATACTGGCTACATCCTGCAGACCACATAAGGTCATAAGATACGATACTGGTTACACCCTGCAGACAACATAAGGTCATAAGATACGATACTGGCTACATCCTGCAGACAACATAAAGTCATAACATACGATACTGGTTACATCCTGCGGACCACATAAGGTCATAAGATACGATACTGGTTACACCCTGCAGACCACACTAGGTCATAAGATACGATACTGGTTACACCCTGCAGACAACATAAGGTCATAAGATACGATACTGGTTACACCCTGCAGACCACATAAGGTCATAAGATATGATACCGGTTACCCCCTGCAGACCACACTAGGTCGTAAGATACGATACTGGTTACCCCCTGCAGACCACACTAGGTCATAAGATACGGTACTGGTTACCCCCTGCAGACCACATAAGGTCATAAGATACGATACTGGTTACATCCTGCAGACCACATAAGGTCATAAGATACGATACTGGTGACACCCTGTAGACAACATAAGGTCCTAAGATACGATACTGGCTACATCCTGCAGACAACATAAAGTCATAACATACGATACTGGTTACATCCTGCGGACCACATAAGGTCATAAGATACGATACTGGTTACACCCTGCAGACCACACTAGGTCATAAGATACGATACTGGTTACACCCTGCAGACAACATAAGGTCATAAGATACGATACTGGTTACACCCTGCAGACCACATAAGGTCATAAGATATGATACCGGTTACCCCCTGCAGACCACACTAGGTCGTAAGATACGATACTGGTTACCCCCTGCAGACCACACTAGGTCATAAGATACGGTACTGGTTACCCCCTGCAGACCACATAAGGTCATAAGATACGATACTGGTTACATCCTGCAGACCACATAAGGTCATAAGATACGATACTGGTGACACCCTGTAGACCACATAAGGTCATAAGATACGATACTGGTTACCCCCTGCAGACAACATAAGGTCATAAGATACGATACTGGTTACATCCTGCAGAGCACATAAGGTCATAAGATACGATACTGGTTACCCCCTGCAGACCACAAAAGGTCATAAGATACGATACTGGTTACCCCCTGCAGACCACATAAGGTCATAAGATACGATACTGGTTACATCCTGCAGAGCATACCAGGCCATTAGATCCATTGTATTGGAAGAACGTGTCGTTACCTTTGTTTACCCTTTAGCTTAACGATGCCTCTTGAAATCACGGTCTTACTGTGATATGACGTTATTGATTGGTATTTGTTTAGGCTTTATGATGATACTACTTGAAAAATTAGTTGGCAGTTTCTTACCAATCTTCCAGCGCGATTGTTGTGGAGATTTATACGGGAGTGGATATCCCGGGCCATCTCTTTGGAATCCATGAATCGTTTCGCGTACTGCTCTCCGAAGTCAACGTTATGACTGCATCCTCCCCACTCGAAGTCTCTGTTCAACCCGTACACGCTCATGTCACAGCCGCAGGACTTCAGCTTGCCCAGACTGCAGGCCTTCGATACTTGATGTGTGACGCCCGCAGCAGATATTGCATATGCGAATGCTGTCTCCTTGAAACCTGTAAGTAGACAAATAGACAAGGATAGAGGGTTACACTGGATAACTCAGGAACAAACATTACACGAGTGTTCTGAACCGTTTCTACTAAGGTTAACGTCAATATCAAACGCTATAAAATGCTATTTCTTAATATATTTCTATTTCATTCCGTCATAGCTACTTATTTTTATGGATTCATACAACAACTAGCCCAGATATAGTTCGGTGTCTTTCCACACTTTGGCGGAAAAGATAAATTAAAACATTCGGTACATCTAAAAGAAAACAGATCCGAAATTTTCAGTCTTTTGACTTGACTAGATTAAACAGGCACAAGAAGCATATGTCAACACGATTCCCGCCACCCAGTGCCGCCGCCACTACTGCTGCACCTCCTAAAGGAGTTTCAAAGAAAATGTGTTTATAATGAAAACACTGGAGAGAACCAGCCACAAACACACGGGACTCGTTACTCCAGCACAGGCAGCAAAAAATCTCAGCAATTCTGGATCTGGTGTGATTGCGGGGCCTTTATCCAAAGTAATCCCATTTCCGACATACAGAGAAGAGACTGTTCTCTGGCTGGGGCCGGTTTGTTAGTGGCACACACACCCAGCAAAGTCTTCAAGATGTTCCTTAACTTGATACAACAACCTGCACCAGTAATTAGCTCAGATCGCCACAGGAAAGAAGTATTTCCAGAGCAATCGAGAACAGATGATAGGGGAACGATAAGGTCATTCCGCTTCTTGTTTCCCTTTCGCAATTTAGGAGTAACTGATACATCATCATAGAAATCAACTGTTATCCTGCCCTGCTCGGGAGGTATCTAACACATCATTAGAAAAACAAGCAAGTCAGTACATCTCCCTCACTCCGACCTTTGCTGAGCCCTCGAGACTCGCCACCTTGTCATCCTCACAGCTAAGTGTTGGGTATGTTTGCCTTGCTTTGGGCTGCCAGTATACTTCCTTCTGGGGTGTTTTTATCATACATGTGTTGAAACATTTGGAGATGTTTAATATTCCCACAACCCCGAACAGCCTGAGGCTGTATGAGATTAAAGCAGTCAAGTTATTGTAAAGCACATCATTAGATGTGTTGGAAATACATCAAATACCTACAAGTAATTGACGCATACGCCAAGCACCATCCCTAATTACAACCACCATGACATCGCCCGGCTGTTTGGAGGACCTGGACCAGTCATCTTCTTGCGAGGTTGGGTGCCCACCAACATCTCCAGCTAACAATCCCCAGGTTCTCTACCCTCCATGTAGCTGTTCTTTCATCAGCTTTGCCTACCACGTATAGTTGGGACACCCGACATTTACACACGGAGTTAACTTGACATGCTTACTACAGGCATATTTGTATAGATATACGTGCAGATGAACATAAACTAACCCAGGGATGCTGGATGTTATTACCTCTTTTCAAAAGGGGGCTAGCATGAGGGTTTTTGTTTTTCCTCTCGAGGCTGGAGCAGTTCCAGCGATGAGTACGCAGTTGATGCTGGCACTCATGGATGCCGATCTGTACACCCTGTATAGCGGACGCAGTAACATCAGGGTACTTTCGACACAAGTCGTACTGAGTCTGGGACAACTCGGGGTACGTCTTACACACAGTGTTGGGATCCAAGTGTGGTTCTTTCTTGATGTTCAGGCGCAAGATGTCATTCTTCAGGCATCTGAATCATAAAACTATGCGTCATTAATGTTTGATTTGCATGTGGATTGATGCATATGACATCACGATTATTGCTGAATGTACTAAAACAGAATTAAAACAGTTTACTTTAATCTCTTAAGATGTGATTTATTGAGATGATGATGACGGCAGTCGGAAGCTAATGTGGCTAACAGCACATGGAGTCCCCATTTACGAAGTCTAAGAGTCGACGTCAGTATGATGTAAGGACATAAGCCACGGTATGTACTGTCTGTGTCAGGTGTACCAGCCTGGCATGTCACTACGTAGAGAGAGCACCCTACAACAATGGGCGCTGTTTTCAACGTGTGTAGGGAAGGTGTTGAAAATTGAATCATACCAGCTAAGAAACACGGAACTAAGATGAAGTCGAAGAACTCTTTTTTCCAGGGTAAAACCTGCAGGGTTTTGTACAGGATGGAGGAATAGGGGCAGACGATGGAACTGCAAAGTATACCTTGTTGTCTCAGCAGCGACTAATCACATACGCAAACCCGCCATACAGTGTGACTTCCGCGGCAGATTACGACAGATGGGATAAAGACCCATTATATCTTACGTTTCTTGTCTCTGTGAATACATCCGTATTTTAGCTGGCTGTCGCTTTCTGTAATGTGAGTGAGTTTAACGTAACTTTGCACAGTATTCCAGTCAGTGTGCCAAATAGTTTCCAAAATGTGCTTGCCAGTCGGGCTAGCTATGCCTGAAAGTTACTAGTCCACAAAATAATTCACTTGTCCGAAATTGAATGTAGACACGTGTTTCATAATTAAACTAATATGATGAACATAATCAGGCCATAATCTTTCATGATTTAGTGTGTTATACTTTAACAAGTCGGAGAGAGTAATATATTTACAAAATTACTCCATAAACATTCACTAGCCAGTCGGACCAATGACTGTGGAGATTTACTGGCTGACTGAATTTTTACTTGCCACGGGCTAGCAGGCAGGTGCCTATTCCGCGACAGCCAGTTCGCAGACACCTTAAAATAACCTACCTGTTACCTACACATTATAATGGAATAGTCCAAATAAAAACACAGGAACAAACTGAAGTTATATTATTTAGATGGACGATTTTTTATTGCTGCAATATAAAAACAATATATTTTCATAAACATTTCGGTTTAACCTTCTAGTCGGCATCATCATATTGAAAACATTAGCTTAGCTATTAGAAATTGCGACACTGTTGTATCATATAAATCAAATAAAGTCAAATGTGAACCTAAATATTATTCATATGGAATAAAGAAGTAATATGTTTTGCACACAATATTAAGATATATGACGAGTGCACTTAATTACGATTTATTTAGAATAAATATTTAAAATATGACGCATCATGGCCATGGATGTGAGAATGTTTTTCGTTACTTCCTTGAATGCCATTATATACTACTCAAAGACATAAACTGTTACAATCTTTAGAAAGTATTGTTGAAATTACAACACTGATTGGTATTAATCGTATCCTACATGGCAATACAGGTGTCTCATTTACTGCAAATCAGAATGTTTTCAAATATGTACATATCTATATCTCTCCAACAAAACATTTTCTCAGTTAACTTCTGTTGTACATACGCTATTATTGGGAGGGGCCTTTTCTATCAATAAACACAATCAAACCTCTCAGTGACAAACCTGTTTTTATATTCAATAGTAATTGATAGTAAAATCAATTTTGAGAAGAGAAATCATTTATCATTTAATCACAACAAAGTTCTATTTACCCACAATCAAACTTCTCAGTAACGAACCTGTTTCAGGCTCACCCTGCTCTACTCACTAGAGAGTGGACTGTTCCATTATACCCGTAGGTGTTACCCTAATTAACAATCTAGTTCAGTCTCTGTCAATTGCGTGTCTGTCAAATGGGTGTCTGTCAATTGGGAGATAACCATTTCGCACACTGAAATTCAAGTTATACCATGGCGTGTGAGTTTAACGTGGATGGAAAGCACGAAGTGCTGGAGGTCTTCGTCATTCACCACTGTGACCAAACTGGATTCAACCAACGGTTTCTGGCGTATCCAGGGGACGCTACTCTGCATAGCAAATTGAGGGGCCTTAGACTACTTGGCCACCCATGCGCCAATCTTTCTGTAAGGTGACTGTGTATCTCTCAGTAATGTATAACAGTTCAAGAGGAAGTGCATGTGCATTTGGGTTTACCTTAATTACCCCACTCTAATAAATTGGTGGATGTTCCATCAGATAAGACATACCTTGTTAACCTAAACAAATATAGACTTATTTGTTTTATTGTTAAATCTCTCCTTGCCAATGCTCTCGTTCTCGTTGTCGTTGTTGTTAGTTTCCGTTAGCTTTCCTATTGCACTCCGACCACACTCCTTGACTATGTATGTGTTCTATAAGACGTCTTAGAATTGGCGCCATGCAGTCATCGTAACTGAAAGCACCAATTAGTGGAAATATTACATGAAAGGATATCTACCGCACGTTCATCCAATTTGAGTCAAAGAACTGAGAAACCCGCTTACTTATTACTTTACGACGAACGATTTGTAAAGAAGCTCACACTAACAGGTCTGACTGGCCTGATCTGATCACGTGGTGCTCCTAGATGTGTAATGTCAAAATCAAAGAGCTAGGCTATGGAATAGCTACCAAACTTAAACTTCAAAACCTAACACAGGAAGGTTAATTGTCTGAAAAAATGTCCGACAGTGTGCGTAATTACCGTAAAGTAATCATCTCCGCCGAATAGTTTGTATGACTATGATTCTTTTCCAGTGTCAAACGCAACATACTGTACACAATACTTGGTAAACATCCACACACTCATCAACTTCACAAACTTCTACAAAAACATCTTTGACATCTACTTCAAATCAATAACGTAATATATTACCACTTGGTCAGTAGCTCACATTACTTGTTCCAGACTAACACTTGGTTAATAGTTCACATTACTAGTTCCAGACTAACACTTGGTCAGTAGTTCACATTACTTGTTCCAGACAAACGCTTTGTCAATAGTTCACATTACTAGTTCCAGACTAACACTTGGTCAATAGTTCACATAACTCGAGACTAACACTTGGTCAATAGTTCACATTACTAGTTCCAGACTAACACTTGGTCAATAGTTGACATTGTTGATTCCAGACTAACACTTGGTCAGTAGTTCACATTACTAGTTCCAGACTAACACTTGGTCAATAGTTCACATTACTAGTTCCAGACTAACACTTGGTCAATAGTTCACATTACTAGTTCCAGAATAACGCTTGTCCAGTAGTTCATATTCCTTGTCCTAGACTAACATTTGGTCACTAGTTCACATTACTTGTCCAAGACTAACACATGGCCAGTACTTCACATTGCTAGTTCCAGACTAACGCTTGGTGAATAGTTCACATTACTTGTCCCAGACAAATACTTGGTAAATAGTTCACATTACTTGTCCTAGACTAACACATGGTCAGTACTTCACATTACTTGTCCCAGATTTACATTTGGTCAGTACTTCACATTACTTGTCCCACACTAACACATGGTCAGTACTTCACATTACTAGTTCCAGGTTAACGCTTGCTCGGTAGTTCACATTACTTGTCCCAGACTAACACTTGGTCAATAGTTCACATTACTTGTCCCAGACTAACACATGGTCAGTACTTCACATTACTTGTCCCAGACTAACATTTGGTCAGTACTTCACATTCCTTGTCCCAGACTAACACATGGTCAGTACTTCACATTGCTAGTTCCAGACTAACGCTTGGTCAATAGTTCACATTACTTGTCCCTGACTAACACTTGGTAAATAGTTCACATTACTTGTCCCAGACTAACGCTTGGTCAGTAGTTCACATTCCTTGTCCCGGACTAACGCTTGGGCAGTAGTTCACATTACTTGTCCCAGACTAACATTTGGTCAATAGTTCACATTGCTAGTTCCAGACTAACGCTTGGTTAATAGTTCACATTACTTGTCCCAGACTAACGCTTGGTCAATAGTTCACATTACTTGTCCCAGACTAACACATGGTCAGTACTTCACATTACTTGTCCCAGACTAACACATGGTCAGTACTTCACATTACTTGTCCCACACTAACATTTGGTCAGTACTTCACATTACTTGTCCCAGACTAACACTTGGTCAGTACTTCACATTGATAGTTCCAGACTAACGCTTGGTCAGTACTTCACATTGATAGTTCTGGACAAACGCTTGGTAAATAGTTCACATTACTTGTCCAAGACTAACACATGGTCAGTACTTCACATTGATAGTTCCAGACTAACGCTTGGTCAGTAGTTCACATTGATAGTTCCAGACTAACGCTTGGTCAGTACTTCACATTGATAGTTCTGGACTAACGCTTGGTAAATAGTTCACATTACTTGTCCGAGACTAACGCTTGGTCAGTACTTCACATTGATAGTTCCGGACAAACGCTTGGTCAATAGTTCACATTACTTGTCCCAGACTATCACTTGGTCAATAGTTCACATTACTTGTCCCAGACTAACATTTGGTCAGTAGTTCACATTACTTGTCCCAGACTAACATTTGGTCAGTACTTCACATTCCTTGTCCCAGACTAACACATGGTCAGTACTTCACATTGCTAGTTCCAGACTAACGCTTGGTCAATAGTTCACATTACTTGTCCCAGACTAACACTTGGTAAATAGTTCACATTACTTGTCCCAGACTAACGCTTGGTCAGTAGTTCACATTCCTTGTCCCGGACTAACGCTTGGTCAGTACTTCACATTGATAGTTCCAGACTAACACATGGTCAGTACTTCACATTGATAGTTCCAGACTAACGCTTGGTCAGTACTTCACATTGATAGTTCTGGACAAACGCTTGGTCAGTACTTCAAATTGATAGTTCTGGACAAACGCTTGGTAAATAGTTCACATTATTTGTCCCAGACTAACACATGGTCAGTACTTCACATTGATAGTTCCAGACTAACGCTTGGTCAGTAGTTCACATTGATAATTCCAGACTAACGCTTGGTCAGTACTTCACATTGATAGTTCTGGAATAACGCTTGGTCAGTAGTTCACATTACTTGTCCCAGACTAACGCTTGGTCAGTACTTCACATTGATAGTTCTGGACAAACGCTTGGTAAATAGTTCACATTACTTGTCCCAGACTAACACTTGGTCAATTGTTCACATTACTTGTCCCAGACTAACACTTGGTAAAAAGTTCACATTAGTTGTCCCAGACTAACGCTTGGTCAGTAGTTCACATTCCTTGTCCCGGACTAACGCTTGGTCAGTAGTTCACATTACTTGTCCCAGACTAACGCTTGGTCAGTACTTCACATTGATAGTTCTGGACTAACGCTTGGTAAATAGTTCAGATTACTTGTCCCAGACTAACGCTTGGTCAGTACTTCACATTGATAGTTCCGGACAAACGCTTGGTAAATAGTTCACATTACTTGTCCCAGACTATCACTTGGTCAATAGTTCACATTACTTGTCCCAGACTAACGTTTGGTCAGTAGTTCACATTCCTTTTCCCAGACTAACACATGGTCAGTACTTCACATTGCTAGTTCCAGACTAACGCTT